CCAAGTTCAAGTGATTCTCCTGCCTCTGCCTTCTGAGTAGCTGGGATTACAGGTGTGCATCAACATGCCCAGCTAATTTTTGTATTTTTTAGGAGAGAAGAAGGGATTTTTCACCATGTTGGTCAGCCTGGTCTTGAACTTGTAACCTCGTGATCTGCCCGCCTCAGCCTCCCAAAGTGCTGGGATTACAGGCATGAGCCACCGTGCCCAGCCAAGTCTGTCTTTTAATTGTGGTATTTAGCCCATTTCCATTTAAATTTAATATGTTATGTGTGAATTTGATCCTGTCGTCATGATGCTAGCTGGTTATTTTGCACATTAGTTGATGCAATTTCTTCATAGTGTTGTTGGTGTTTATATTTCGGTATGTTTTTGCAGTGGCTGGTACCGGTTTTTCCTTTCCATATTTAGTGCTTCCTCAGGAGCTCTTGTAAGGAAGGCCTGGTGGTGACAAAATCTCTCAGCATTTGCTTGTCTGTAAAGGGTTTTATTTATTCTTTGCTTATGAAACTTAGTTTGGCTGGATATGAAATTCTGGTTTTAAAATTCTTTCCTTTAAGAATGTTGAATATTGGCCCCAATCTCTTCTGGCTTGTAGGGTTTCTCCAGAGAGATCCGCTGTTAGTTTGATGACCTTCCTTTGGGGGTTGTATCATTGATTGTGTATTTAGAAAACCCCATTGTCTTAGCCCCAAATCTCTAAGCTGATAAGCAGCTTCAGCAAAGTCTCAGGATACAAAATCAATGTGCAAAAATTACAAGCATTTGTATATACCAGTAACAGAGAGCCAAATCACAAGTGAACTCCCATTCACAATTGCTACAAAGAGAAAAAAAAATACCTAAAAATATAACTTACAAGGGATGCGAAAGACCTCTTCAAAGGGAACTACCATCACCACACTCCAGCATCACAGGTCGACTTCGACTGGTGGCTGGCAGTGAGAATTTCTATCCAGTGGATCTTAGCTTGCTGGGCTCTGTGGGGGCGGGACCCACTGAGCAAGACCACTTGGCTCCCTGGCTTCAGTCCCTCTTTCCAGGGGAGTGAATGGTTCTGTCTTGCTGGCATTGCAGGTGCCGCTGTGGTACAAAAAAAAAGAAAAAAAGAAAAACCTCCCGCAGCTAGCTTGGTGTCTGATCAAATGACTGCCCAGTTTTGTGCTTGAAACCCAGGGCCCTGGTTGTGTAGGAACCCGAGGGAATCTTCTGGTCTGTGGGTTGCAAACATGATGGGAAAAGCATAGTGTTTGGGCCGAATCGCACCATCCCCATGGCACAGTCCCTCATGGATTCCCTTGGCTAGGGGAGAGAGTTTCCCAACCCCTTGTGCTTCCCAGGTGAGGTGATGCCACACCCTGCTTTTGCTTGCCCTTCCTGGGCTGCACTCACTGTCTAACCAGTCCCAGTGAGATGAACTGGGTACGTCAGTTGGAAATGCAGAAATCACCTGCCTTCTGCATTGGTCTTGTTAGGAGCTGCAGATCAGAGCTGTTCCTATTTGGCCATCTTGGCTGGAACCAATCCTAGGCACTATCATTATGCATACCTCTATAGAGTCAGTGCAGAGGGACAAATGACTTGGTCAGGTATATACTGGTAAATGGCAGAGCCAGGGTTCAAACCTAGGCTGCCTGGTTCAGAGTCCAGGCACTTAACTCTTGTACAACAATGCTTCTTCTCATAGGCAGCAAGCAGCTTTTGAGCGCCTATCATATGCCAAATTCCCTGTTGGTACTTTACTGTTAATTTCATTTAATCTTATACACTGTATCTCATTTAATTCTTAAAACAACTCTATGGAGTAGATATCAATATATTTATTCCACAGATGAGAAAATAGAGGCTCAAACAAGTCAAATGCAAGATGAAACAGCTGTCAGGTGACAGAGCCAGCCGGGCCTGCCTAGATTGGTATAGAAATAACTCTCAGCAATTCCTTTCTGAATGATGGAGACAGCTGAGCCCCAGGTCTTTGGATCTGCCATTCACAGTGACAACCTGTGTACTATTTGTCATTTTAGGAATTGTGAAATATGAGACAGAGCCTCCCCATATGTTAGGTATTCACCAGCATTTCTACAGGCTGCAGCTGCAGTGGGGTTTGGGGGAGGGAAGAGAAAGTGCAAAGAATATAGCTTTAGTTTGAAATGAGCTGTTTTTTTCTTTCATCTTTTCTGCCTCCTGTTTAATTTCTTTACAGAGATAAATAAAGCTGAGGAACATTACATTTGGCAGGCTTCAATAGGGCATGGATTCATGGTTGTTTCTTTATTGCTGCTTAAGTCGTGAAAACTATTTTGTTAATGATAGATTTGTTAGCTGAGATTTTCTTCTTTGATAGTTGTATTCTTTTCTACTATAAGAACATCATATACAAGTGATACCCTAGCCCTGGGCAAACAAACATATGCATAAAACATTACCTCTGGGCTTGCTGTCTGGAACCATTTACTTAACCGACCTAGGTCTTTGTTGTGTCATTCATAAATCGGAAAATAAGAAATCCAGCCAAAATTAGCATGTTTGCTGGAAAGATCCAGTAAGATAATAATACTTCCCTGATTTTATTTAGTCTGTTGTATTTTCAGATTCACCTCTTACGTTCTCTCATTGGTTCTGGGAAGTGGACAATTCTATTCCCATTTCACACATAAAGGAACAAACTTTGGGATATTAGGTGGCTGGATATTGTCACCCGGCTCCTACATGGCAGCATCAGGACACCAAGTAACTCCCTGCCCAGGGACAAAGGGTTGTTAAAATTACTACAGAATAATACTACATACAGAATAAGTCATATGATTTATCTTTTTCTCTTAACTGGTTTTTCTGATACCCGAGTTCATTGTTTTTAGATTCAAACATAAGGGAAATGCAAATTTAAGACAGTGTCTTTTAATCTCACTTTTTGGAATGTAAACACTGATAACAGTTTGCTCTGTATTATTCCAGATTTCTTCTATAGCGACATACCTATTAGCAATAATGTGGTAAGTCACATTCTGGTAGCACATTATAGTTGCAAAGCGGTTTTTCATAAGTGATCTCAAGGTACATGTTTATCATAATTTGCTTTTCCTGTGATTAGAGAGATTGATGAACTTGTGCCTTTGAGTCACTAAAGATCAGTCAGTGAGATTTCTATCTGCCTGAGGTCACAAGAGTAAGCCTTTTAACTGAATTGACTGTTCCCCTCAGACTGGGAAGTTGGCTGCCCTGTCTTCAGTCAGCAGTGATGAGGTGTTTGACAAAGCTCAGTGGTTGTTTTGACATTTCATAGACACAGCCTCAGCCATTCCAGTCAGAAGTCAGTCACCTACCAAAATCTAAGCAGCTGGGATCCACAATTTTATAATAAATTAATTTGCAAAAATGTGAATGGCTTGAATTAAACTTCAGAATTGAATATTCAAAAAAAGGTATGCAAGCTGGAGTCATAGAATGATAGTAGCAGCAAGGACTTCAGAAATCACCTAGTCTAGTGTATACTTTTTAATTAAAAGTGAAGAAAATTGAGCTCCAAAGTTGGGAAGAGCATTTTCTTGTTCCATTTAGTTGGAAAAATGTTTTCCAAGTACCAATTATGTCTTAGATTCTTGTGAGATGTTTGAGTTAGGCCTGTTTCCAGCCTTCAAAAAACTGACAGTTGTGCATGATTCACTGTTGAAGGTATCATGAAAGGCTAAGGTGGAATATTCTGAATATTTTCATGTGGTAAAAGAGGTTATCTTACTCTATTTCAGCTGCTATAAGAAAAGTACCACAGACCAGGTGGCCTAGAAACAAATTTATTCCTCACAGTTCTGGAGGCTGTGAAGTCCAAGATCAGTGCACTGGCAGATTCAGTGTCTGATAAGTGTTTCTTTCCTTGTTTATAGATGGCCATCTTCTCACTGTAACTCCATACAGTGAAAGGGGGCAAGAGAGTTCTCTGGGGTCTCTTTATAAGGGCACTAATCTTATTCATGAGGACTCCATCCTTGTGACCTAACCACTTCCTAAAGGCCTCACTTCCAAATAGTCTCATAGTGGGGCTTTGGTTTCAACCTGTGAATTTTGGGAAGACATATTCAGTCTATCTCTTTCCATAGCCTTGATGTACATACTGGAGTGAAAGAACCCATTCAAAAACTGCATTTTCAATAAGTCCCTGCCACTCACAAGTCCTTTACCTCTGGTGACCTCCCCAAATCCTTCATTTGGACCTCATCAGACTGTAACCTCTCCCCAAGAAAAGGCTATGTCATGCTGATACTTTTATTTCTAATGCTTAGCATGTGTATCGAATATATGCTTGTCAGTGAATGAATCTCTGCTTTTTAAGGACAGATTGCACTTTTCATGGTGTTATACCTGGCTTCTGAAATAAATATTTCTGGAGTGTTACATCAGATAGCTGTAAAAACATGGGAATATAAATTCAGCATACTTTTTAAAATACAGGAATGCTGGCCCCCACATCACACTCTCTATTCATGCTGATAGCTCATATATTTATGCTCTGATTTTTGGAAATGTAGTTGGTGTCATCTACCAAGTTGATTCTTTTTTTGTGGAGTGCCTGTAATTAATAAATATTTGGTTTATGTTTCATTTTGATCATTACTAAAACAGTTAAGAGTCCCATTTATGCTGCCTCATATTAAAAAACTCTTCCTATGTTTAATACCTAGACGAGAAGCTGAAATGGTAAATTTTCTTGCTTTCAGCTCCCTGGCAGCCAGAGAACAGGTATGGCCTAGGCTGGGCTAACCAGATACCTCAGCTTGGGACTGTGAGTCTGAAGCAAGTGATAGCAAAAAGCATATCTGAATTAATCCTGGCTTATAGAGACACGGGCATCAGAGGTATACAGTGTTTGGTGGCCACAATGCCTGCACCAACTTGACTGGGCATAATTTGGTCATTGTTTTGGCTGTTTAGCTTCCTTTGGTTCTGCTCTATTTTCTGATCCTTATTTCTTAACTATATAAGTTTTTCTGTTGTTTGCAACTAAGAATTACGACTGGGCTGGGTGTGGTGGCTCACACCTGTAATCCCAGCACTTAGGGAGGCCGAGGCAGATGGATCACCCGAGGTCAGGAGTTCAAGACCAGCTTTGCCAACATGGTGAGTAAAAGAATTATGACTGATATAGTCATGGAATAATAATCATATATGAAATCACTTGTCTTATTAACTCATTTTTGACTTTTGATGCTTTATTACTTTTATACTTTATGACTGCCTTTAGAAGACAAAATTTAATTTGGAAGAAAGATAGGATGTCCTGAATTTCAATCTCAATCCTGACAGTTACCAGCAGAGTAACTTCTTTGAGCCCCCAAGTTCTTATCTACAAAATGCAGACTATAATGGGCTGTGTTGTACCCCCTCCAAATCAAATTTTGGAGGCCAACACTCCTTTTGTGTTGGGAGTAATATTATCCTCTTTTTGACCTGTATATTAGAAACAACATCAAAAAGGGGGTGTACACCCCCTGCGATATTGGAAGGAATATCATCCTCTTTCCTCATGGTTATTAGAAACAATATCACGGTGGAGAGGGAGCATGTACACCTTTTTGATATATAATTACATTCACTCCCCACCTGAATATTAGAAACACCATCACAGAGCCGGGGGTGTACACCCCCTGCGATATTGAAAGTAGTATCATCCTCTCCCTCTTTGAATATTAGGAAAAATATCACAAGGTGGGTGACATTAGTCTTCCTATCATCGGGGGTGTACATCCCATGATATTGTTTGAGATATCCAGGGGGGAGACAATACTACTACTCCCCATATAGAAGGGGGTGTACACTCCCCTGTGATATTGTTTGTAATATTCGAGGGGGGCGAGGGAGTAGATATTACTGCAAATATCACGGGGAGTACACCCCATTATATTGTTTGTAACATTCAGCAAGGGAGAGGATATTACTCTTAACATCTCAGGAAATGTATATCCCCCTATATTGTTTGCAATTTCCATAAGAGGAGAGGATGATATTATTCCCAATGTTGCAGAAGGGTACACCACCGTGTGATAATGTTCATAATATTTTGGGGGTGGGAGAGGTTGATGTTATTTTCCATATCCGAGGGGGTATACACCTCCTATGATATTGTTTGTAATTTCCAGGAGGGGAGAGGATGATGTTACTCCCCATATCACAGGAGGTGTACATCCCTGTGATACTGTAATATTTAGGGGGGAAATTAGGAATGTATACACCCCTGCCATATTGTTCATAATATTTAGGGGGGAATAGGATATTACTCCCCATATCGCAGGGTTTGTACACCCCCCTGTGATAATTTTCTTAATATTCAGTGGAGGGAGAGGATGATATTAATCACCACATCACAGAAAGTGTATACTCCCCTGTGATACTGTCTATAATTTTAAGGGGGTGAGAGGATGGTATTCCTAATATTGCAGGGTGGGTACCCTTTCTGTGATATTGTTTATAATATCCATTTGGGGAGAAAATATTACTCCCAATACTGCAGGGGTTGTACATCCCCTGTGTATTCATAATATCCAGAAAAGAAGAGGAAGATATTACTACAATTACTTCAGGGGTTTTATACCTTCCTTTGATATTGTTCATAATATCCCAGAAGAGAGAGGATGATATTACTGCCAATATACTCCCTGTAATATTGTTCATAATATCAAGAGGGGGGAGAGGATAATAATCCAGTATCGCAAAGGGTGTATACCCTCCTTTGATACTGTTCATAATATCCATGAAGGGAGGGGATATTACTCCGAATATCACAGGAAATGTACATCTCCCGGGATAGTCTTCACAATTTCCATAAGGGGAGAGGATAATATCCAGGGGGAAAGAGGATATTAACCCCAGTATCCCAGGGAGTTCACACCCCCTTCCCCTGTGATATTGTTCATAATACCTGGGGGGAAGAGGGTGATGTTACTCCCCATATCCCAGGGGGTGTACACACCCATGCGATGTTGTCCGTAATATTTAGGCGGGGATTGGATGATGTTAATCCCCATATCTCACAGGGTATACATCCTTCTGCGATAGTGTCCATAATATCCCGGCGGGTTGGGGAGAGAATAATGTTACTCTCCATATCACAGGGAGTGTACACTCCCCTGTGATACTGTTTATGATTTTCAGGGGGTGGGAGGATGATATTATTCCCCATATAGCAGGGAGTGTACCTTCCCTGTGCTATTGTTTATAATATCCACTGGAGGAGAAAATGACATTACTCCCAGTATCGGAGGACTTGTACACCCCAAGTGATACTGTTCATAATATTGGTGGGGGGAGAGGAAAATAATACTCTCTATATTGCAGAAGGTATACATCCTTTTCTAATATATTTCATCATATTCAGGGGAGGAGAAGATGCTATTAGTCCCCATGTCTCAGGGTGTGTACAATATTGTTCATCATATCGAGGGGGAGAGTATGATATTACTAACAATGTTGCATTGGGTGCATACCCCCTAGGGATACTGTTCATAATATTCAGAAAAAGAGAGGATAACATTACTTCCAATATCAAAGGCAGTGTACAACATTCTGTGATACTGTTTGTAACACTCAGATAAAAATAAAATGGTATTACCCCCAACATCTCAGGTATGCAACCCACTGTGATATTTTTCATAATATTCGGTAGTGGGGGCGGGGGGAGAGGATGATGTTACTTCCAATATTGCAGGGGTTGTATCTCCCCTGAGACTGAGATATTGTTCCTACTACCCAGGGGGTGAGAGGATGATATTACTCCCAATATCGCAGGTGGTATACACCCCCATCCCTGTGATATCATTTCTGATATTTAGAGGGGGATAGAATGATATTATTCCCAACATTGCATGGAATGTATACTGTTTTTATAATATTCTTCCTAATATCCAAAGTGGATAATGACAGTAATTCTCCCAATAACACAAAGGGTGTATACCCCCAGTGGTATTGTTTCTAATATCCACAAAATGTGAGGATACTACTCCAATATCGCAGGGAGAGTACATTCCCCTTGGGATATTGTTAATACCATCCAAATGGGGAGATGATATTACTGTCAATATTGTAAGGGGTATACATTGCCTCCATGATATTATTCCTGATATCCAGTGGGGAAGAGGATATTACTACTCGCAGTATACAGGGGGGTATACACCCTGCTGTGATATTGTTCCTAATATCAAGGGTGGGAGAGGTTAATATTACTCCCAATGTTGTTGGGTGAGTACACACATCCTGTGGTATTTTTCCTAATATCCAGGGTGGGAAAAGATATTATTCCCAATATCACATTATGGTACAGTCTTTTTGTGATACTCTTAATATTTAGTGGGCAGAGTATTACATTACTCCCAATATTGCAGTGCATGCACATATTCCCTGTGATATTGGTTCTAATATCCAGAGAGGAGATGATGGTATTAGGGTGTACATCCCCCTTGTGATATTCTTCCTAATATTCAATTGGGGAAAGGATGATATTACTCTCAATATTGCAGGGGATGTACACCACCCTTGTGATAATGTCCCTAATATCCAGGTAGGGAAAAGCTGATATTACTCCCAATATCACAGGAAGTATACATTTTAATGTTCCTAATAACCATAGGGGGAGAGGATATTACTCTCAATGTCACAGGGGGTGTACATCCCTCCCTGTAATACTGTTTCTAATATCCAGAAGGGAAGACAATGATATTAGTGTCAATACCGCAGAAGCTGTACATCCCTTCTGTGACACTGTTCCTAATACTCAAATTGGGAGAGGGTGATACAATGCCCCCTTTGTGATATTGTTCCTAATATCTTCGGGGGATAGTATGGTATTACTCCCAATAGCATAGGGGGTGTACATCTTTCTTGTGATACTGTTCCTAATATGAAGGCATAAATAGGATAATATTACTTCCAATTACACAGGAGGTATATATCCTCCTTTTGATACTGTTCCTAATAGCCAGGGGCTGAGAGGATATTAATCCCAACATTGAATGGAGTGTACACCCCTGCCCCATGATACTGTTCCTAATATTCAAGAAAGGATAGGATGTTACTACTCCCAGTATCACTGGTGGTGCTCACTCCCTTAGGAGGGGAGAGGATATTATTCCCAATATCATGGGGGTGTACCCCTTGCCTGTGATATTGTTCCTAATCCACCTGCAGAGATCATATTACTCCCAATATCACAGAGGGTGTAAAATATCCCTATGATATTGTTCCTAATTTCCAGGGTGGAAAAAATGATAGTACTCCCAATAGCGCACATAGTATACACCCCCCCATGCTATTGTTCCTACTATCCAGGAGGTTAGAGAATGATATTACTCACAATATTGCAAAAGATGTACATCCATCCTGTGATACTATTCCTGATATCCAGGGGAAAAGAGGAGAGTGATATTGCTCCCAATATCACAGGGAAGGGAGTGACTATTACCTTGATCTGATGCAAGTTTGGCTTTGCAAAGTGATCTGGAGCTGCTTCTTGGTCCAGCCACTGAGCTGGTCATCACTAGTTGCCATATAAAATTGACTTTTCTTTGCATGTCACAGTTCAGTGGGCAGATGGTTTGTTGTTATGTTTGTTAGCAGTTCCTGGGCCAAATGCTTTGTTGATGTTGCAGGTTGTCTTCGCTGACCCATTTTGACAGTTCAAGAATAAGAAAATTGCTTGAATTGTCTAACATAATTTTCATATTCTAAAAAAAAATAGCAAGTAATAAGTCATTAGCAAAAAAATTTCAGAATGTATTTCAACAGTGCAAAAATCATGCTTATCTTTGTTCCAACTTAATACTTTCGTTCAGCTATATGCATATAATCTGGCCATTAACTTGAAATTTATTATCAGAATTCAATTATATAATAGTAATATTAGTATTAACATTTATTACCAGTCACCATATATGTTTTACATATATATGTTTTACACATACTATTTAATCCAGACAACTATTAGCATTTCCAGATTTCAGACAAGGAAATGGAGAGACATTAAGTAAGGGAGGACACATAGTTATAATGGAGACAGGTTCGAACCCAATTGTAGCTGACTTTAGGTGTTTATGCTTTTATCCACTATTTTGCTGTTTTTTAAGGCAACA